CTTTCAAGGCCTGCTTAACAAAGATTCAGTGATATAATGGTTTGCTTCGCATTGCCTTTTTTCTGCATAGCAATCACAATCAGCATTAGACAATTTAAAACCCTTTCACAAGCCGGAAGTTCTGAAGAGCCTTTTAATCAACAAAAGTAATTTTGCAAACAACTAGATACAGCGTTTTTCATATTAACTAACTTGTATTAAACTCTGCTGTGTGTTTGAATCTCTGGTTCTGGTAATGGATTATTCAGATTTGCAAGAGACTAAAAGTGGGGAACACAATTAGCACAATATGCAGTTTGTACCCCATGAAAATTGTAATCTCATGCCATTCTCCAGCTAAATATAAGCATTGTATTAGTACTTCACTGCAGTTCCATATATTTTAATTTTCTCTTAATATGTTGTCCTTGTATAATTACTTATTTTTTCTAAATGCCTGTGTATGTAATCCTTGTTTTAAGGGAGACCACTATGTCTGTAGGACAGGTTAGAAATCAAATCCTAATACATGATAAGATTCTGAAATTCAAGTTATAATATGAAAATCTGTTAGAAACACTTCCCTTCTAAAATCATTGAGCTCAAGAATGCTTTATTCAGTAATTTTATTGCCATATAGCGTTGAAAGAAATCCCACATGATTTAAAAACACTTATTTGATGGAGAGATTGTAAAAGCAAAAACACACTACAATTTTTTTTTTTTTGTCAAGCACATATATAAATGAAACTAACCTGTTAATGACACCTTTAAAACATTCTTCTTCTTTTTTTTTTTTTTTTTTTTTTTTTTTTTTTTTTTTTTTTTTTTTTTTTTTTTTTTTTTTTTTTTTTAACTGCTAGAAGCATTAATTTGTACCGTTGCTGCATGTGGTAATTAGCAACTTCAGCAGTGATTTTCTCTGCCCTAAACCTTTCGTGTTTGACACTATTCCAGCCTGGGAGAGGAGTGACCCTGGGATACAGTGCTACAGGACAAGTGGAGCAAATCCTGTCACAAGAAATAACAGGGTCAGAAGACATTGCTAATGAAGTCATAGCAACTGGTTTAAAGAGCCAATCAGAGAAGGCAACAATCTGTAAATGAGGATATAATTAGCAGAAAAAATAACATGCTTTGGTTGGATTCTAGGGGAGCAAGTAATGAAGGCAATGACTGGATATTGAGAGAGATTCCAAAAGATTAGAGCAAACATTGTGCAACAAAGAATACCTAATTAGCAAAAAAGTGGATATACCTTAATTAGAAGAAAAATGTATGATTGAAAGACATGGAGTAGGATTTTAATATGAATATAATAATGACTATTAGCCCAAATCTCCAGGACAAAAAAAGAGTCCTATCTTCACATTTTTGCCTTTACCATTTTGATAAATGGTCATGAAGAAGATGGACTGTAAATTCATATCATGGCTGGGACATTAATACTATTAAAACAGACAATTTTGAGACAGTAATTTAATGGGTTTCCACCCAATTTACACATTTACTACCCCTAACACAGCACTGCAGACAAAGCAGCGCTGTGTCTTTTGGCTGGCCTTAATGTTCTTCTGGTGTGAGGAAGTAATTAAGGAAAGAATTTCAGGTGGGTGTCCTGTGGCATGTGAGCTAATGCTTGCTCCAGATATCTGCTAATAGGAAGGGACCCTGGGTGGTTCTTCATACAGAAAAAGAACCAGTGGTGCTGAGGCCTTGATTGTGTCTGCATCACTACTACACTGCTGCAACTTGCTTTTATTTGTTGCTGTTTGGTTGATTTTTCTTTGGGTTTTTTTTTTTTACTTTTTTTTTTTTTTAAATAGAGACTGATCCAAAATTCATTAAATGCAAAGAAAAAGCTTCCAATAAGTTCACAGGCTGCTAGATCAGACTCAGAGTGAGCAGAAACCCTGGAAATTTTATTAGTAAAAATTAAACATGTTATTATCCTGAACATAATAGATCCAAATAGAAGAATCCCATAATGGATTGTGCCAGTACAGTATATGCACAGTATTTATGGCTAGCAGTGATGAAAAGTATAATGTTCTACTGCTTATCATTTTATTACAATAGAAAAATCAGGACTCTAACTTGTTAATAATTTTTCACCTTTATAGACATCTAAATGGTATTATATTTCCTCCCTTTTTTCTTTTTACAAAATGGTTCTAGGATATTGATTGTCATTTATTTTTACTCATGATATTTAATTGTCATAATTAGCAATCCATGTCTCATTCTCTATCTTAAAAATATCCTGTCAATTTTATAGCATATTTATAGATTAATTTAAATGTATAATTTAATTTATTACTGCATACCTTTGGTTTGTCTGTAACATTAAAATACTTATGGTACAGAATATTTTAATTAAAACTATTCATCAAATGAAGTCCAGGTAGCATCCTTATCCTTGTTTGCAGTAGGGGGTTCTGGCAGTGAAAGCAAGCAAAATAATGGGTCAATTAAAAAAAAATCTAAATATAGCTTTTTCAGAGATCTGATTGCTTAACTCAAGGTTAAAAAATAAAAAGAAAGAAAGAAAGAAAGAAAGAAAGAAAAATGTTTTTGTCAGTGGGTTTCACAAATTAAATTATGATTATTTTTGTCCTCTTGCACACATCAAATCTGCTAATGTCATGGCCAAAGGAGAAGTACAACTATACAAGAAATGGGCTTGAATTTTCATGTGTGACATATCTCAATTTGACAGTGTCTGCAGGAAACTGGGATATTGTTTTCAGAGGGTTCTTCTTATGAAAGGAGCTGTACAATTAATTTTTTTTTTTTTTAACACTGAGAAATTCACCCTCTATTTATGAGAATCAAACTATTTACCCTTTTGGGTCAAGTGTTTCTTCATATTTAAAAAAGGAAAACTTTTAATGATATTTCTAATAAACTGAGAGTTATTAGTTTGCTGTGCTAAGGAAAAAATACAGCATAACACTGATGAAAATCCCACTTCCAGCACAACTGAATCAAGGTTTTACTGCAGCTCTCAGTTGACAGAAGGTCTACCATTCTTTTGCCATGTATGCTATTAATTCACTTTCCAGAACTGTCAGGTACTCGGAAAGTAAGAGAAATATACTAAAAATATCAATGTATTTCTCTTCTTCCTCTTGCTAATGTATCTCCACCTATGCTATTTTAAATTAAGCAGTGAAGTAGTGTTGAAAGTTCTGACTGGCTCTGATAACAAAATAGATTAAAAAAATTAACCAGTTAAACAAGAAAAATAAGAAGAAATAGAATCAGCTGACAACTTAATTGTTCAGCTTGTATGCAAATATTCTGACAATAATTTGCCAATGCTTTTGAATATAAGTTTAGAAACACATAATTATAACATTAATTGTTTCTTCTGCTTTAATTCTAGGTTTCTGTCACAAAATAGAAGGCTTAACTGTAATTCATGAGGAAATATAAAAGTATATTCATTTTGTATTCAATTAGCTTTAAGCATATTCCAGTGCAGTGCAGTATTACAATAATTATTTATGTTAATCTACAGAGTAAGATACAGTATGTTGGCATAATAAATTGTCTTTATGCTGTGTAGCAATGCCTTTTGAACCACCTTCTGTACTCACAAATAAGAGCATCTACCTGAATGGAGTAGTTGTCAGATTGTAGGATAAAGACAATGAATTAGTGGCATGTAGGGAAGATACAGCCCTAGAAAATCCACCATTCATATCAAGATTTAATTTTTAAACTGTGTTATAATAAAATTGAGTGTCTGAGTGTAAGTCTGAAGTGAGAAGAGAGGACATGATGCTGGAAGGCTGGATTGGAATTTGGCCTGACTTTCTTATTCCAGCTCTGAATGCTAAATTAATCACTGAGATTTATATGAAAATGAAAGCTGCATAACATCTTCATCAAGGAAAAATAGGGTTACAATTCAATAAATTGTGTGGTAATACTTTATTGACTAATGAATATACAGCTCCTTCTAACTGCAGTATTTTACTTTTGGGGACTGTAACAGCATTGCAATTACATTACTAGTATTTGCTAAAACTATGTCTGTCTTCTCTCCTGATCTTAAAAAAAATGCTTTGAAAAAAGAGTGAAAGAGGACCCAGAGAGCAGGTTATGCACCATCCCAGAGTCTTGTGGGGAAATAAACCATGCACAGATAATAACAGTGCAAACAAGTTGATGCTGCTATTTTTAAACAAGCTGTTATTATTGACTAGCAGAGGTTGCTGGAGGTGGGATGCTGTTAATGACAAAAGCTCTGAACAGTAGAATTGCTACTAATCCATGTGCTAGAGAGCCTGATAATGAGAAACACCTAAGTGCAGAATTAAATGGTCCTCTAAAATAATTTCTGCTACATACTTGATAAGGAGTCATAGCATCCTAAGCAGCCCCTTTTCTTTTTCAGAAATCTTTATCCACAGAGATCCCATATTACTCCATTCACAAATCAGAGAGATGAGGAAATCTTCAGGGGGTTATTAGCAAAACTTTCAAAAAGAGAGAGGAGCCAAATCACTTTGAAACAGAAAAGAAACATTCTGGGAAAACCTATTTTAGGCACCATTCAGGGAAAAAAGGTCATGACACAGAAAAAATTGGTGCCCAGTGATAGGACCTGAGGGAATGGCCTGGGTTAGGTTGGATGTTAGAAAAAGGCTCTTCCCCAGAGGTGCTGGCACTGCCCAGGCTGCCCAGGGAATGGGCACAGCCCCGAGGCTGCCACAGCTCCAGGAGTGCTCGGACACAGGGACGGACAGGGGGGATTGTTGGAGGTCTGCAGGGACAGGGGCTGGATCCATGATCCCTGTGGCTCTGCCCACCCAGGATGTTCTGTGATTCTGTGCTGTATCCTGAAGCAGATCCATGAGTGTGTAGCACCCTGGAGTGCTGCAGCTGATGGAAGCTGAGTGTTGTGGGACACTTGGCATTTTGCAGATGAATGGCCTGCACTGAGCAGCTTTTTGTCTTCTTCTTCTTCTCAGATCCCATTTTGTTTTTCCTGGTAGCACATAGAGGCATGAAGTGAGAAGACCAGCCTGCTCTGAGATCCTGAGTGAATTTGCTGGATCGTGGAGTCATTTAGAAGCTGGCAGGGGAGTTGTGATTGTTATTTCCTACACCTGGTTGTGAACATGTGCCTGCTGACCACATCTACCTTACCAGGAGGTGAAAAATCATGGAATTACAGAAGGGTAAGGGCATGGAATAGACCTTAAAAATCACCTAATCCCAACCCTCCTGCCATGGGCAGGGACATCTCCCACCAGACCAGGCTGCTGAAAGTCTTATCCAACCTGGCCCTGAGCAGTGGCTGGCTTGGAGCATCCTCAGCCTCCTGGGAAATCTGTTTCCACCCTCACAGTGGAAAATTTCTTCCTACCATCAGAGGCAAAGGAACTGTGATGTCTTAATACCTACACAAATTTAGGTTCTAGGCATCTTGAGTTTTGGCCCATGGGTTTCTTGCTTTCTGTATGTATTTGAAATATTTAATGAGTAGAAACAATTTGGCCACAGAAATTACTCCAGAAATAGGAAAAATGTGTCAGTTTTATATTACCAGATCTCCTTAAAAAGAACTTGCAACACTTTGACATGAGTTTGGGATCTGAATTGGTTTTAAAAACTTTTTTTTTTTTTTTAACATTTGTGACATTAATTTATGTGCTTCTTTAAATCATAAACCTCTCAAAAATCAGAATTGTGCAGAATTTGAAATTAAATTAATAAATCAGCCTACATTAACTCAATCTTAGGTTTCTGAAAAGATTTGTGAACTTTAACAGTTCTTTCAACAGGCCTGTTCTGCATTTTGATTTTCTAGTGCAATGCAATCCAAGTGAGATTTATATGACTACACATTTTGTTGCAAACATTCACAGCTCAAAGCTATTACCTGACTGTCTTCCATATCAGGCCATTTATGTATCTAAGAAAACACTGGCATCTGTTTAATATTTTATTGCTTTAAAAATATCTTTGTTGTTCAGATACAATCTCACTCTAACATTTTCATGAATAGAGCCTTTATTCTTTCTGTAGAGCAGAGGACATTTGCCTTCATAGAAATAATATTAACTATGAGTTGACCCATAATCTGCATTGCAAGAAAATCATGTAATAAGATTTTTTTCCTTCAGAATGGGTTTTGAGTTTATTTGTTTTTTATTTTTTCTTAAATTTTCTAATATTTTACTTGATTGCAAACAGGAAACATGTAATGCCTTGTGACACTTGGTATTGAACTTCAAAAAAAATACATTAAAAACATCCATAACTGCTTTCAGCTTTAGGCCCTAACAATTTATATTATTACAGATACATTAATTCTTAAGAAGCTTGAAATGTGTACAGGTTTATCCCCTCATTATTAAAAATGCATAACTTACGTACCCTAGCAATCCAAACTGTAGATCACTTTATCAAGGAAGAAAATGTAATTATCCCTATTTTATAGACAAGTTAATGCCACAGTGAACAGTCACAGAGCAAACAGAGCACCTATAAAAAGAAGACTGACAAAGCCAAGATTGTGTTGCCTTTTCCATTTTGATTTGTCTCAAATTAATGCATGGCTGATTTTTTTTTATTTTTTTATTCTCTCAACACAGGGCTGCCAACATTGGAGAAAATTAAGTGGAATCAAACACAAGGTGAACATCTCCAAATAAAATCTGCTTCAAAGCAAGCTCTGAATCAGAGAGACAGGCACGACCTTAAAGCAAAACCTTACAGTGTAGGACAGATCAGTTTCTCATGATCCAGCACTACACAGAATAGAAATAATGCATAGATAAAAGACAGAGATTTCTCTCTTTCCACAGAGAGATGGCTCAGTCAAATAGGTAAGAGTTTCATGGCACCTGCCTGTCTAGGGGTGTGAAGTGGATATAAACCCAGCAAATTGCTTAGTTCCCCCTAAGAGAAAATAGTTACTGACACCATTGGAGCACTTGGAGAATTTCTCTGCCTTCATCTTGCTTGGATATTGGGCTTTGTAGTGCTGTCTAGTCCCTGATAAGCAGCATTTAACAAATGAGCACTTTCCAGGGCTGAAATAGCCAGGGACAGGTTGAAAAGGCTCAGGGTTTCCAGTCAGCACCTGCTCATGTCAAGGCTCAAGGTGAGCAGGAGGAGGTGGATGAATGTAACATAAACCTCTCCTCTTCATGGTTTTAGCAACTCCAGCCCTCCAAACCTTGTGCTTTGTGCCCGGGGTCTAATCCAGAAGATCTGTGTGTCCTCGTGTAACATCTGCTGGGAGCTCCATTGAAAAATTTGTGTGAGGTCTCTGCTTCACAAGCTCTGGAGAAGGCAAACTGGGGGAATCTTCTCAAGTAAACACTGCTCTTTTCTGCTTTTCACCAAACATTTGGTCCTCTGGGTGTTGCTTCAGGGAGAGGTTTTAACAGACAAACCCTCGGTGTGAGAAGAGCTGGATTCAGGTGTGCCTCCATTGAGCCAGCCAGAGACAATATGTACCCATCTAGGAAAGAACACATGGGGAATTGAGTGATAGAAATGGAATTATATGGCAATTGGGTACAAAGGGAAATGCAGAACAAATGAACAGCTGAAATGAAAAATTTGAAAAGAGACTCAATCTAAAACAAGATGAAGAATTTGTTGTAAAAAGCTAATTTTTGAAATACGAAAATAGAATGAACTTATTAATTTTAAGATAGAAAATATTTTGTTTTCAAATATAATTTTTATTCATAATTTCAAAATTCTAAATTGACTATTAATTGTGTACCTTGAAACTGCAGTGAAGATATTTTAGGAAAATTTTAGAGAGAGAGAAGCAAGGAAAATTTTATGAAAATTCACAAAAATATGTTGAAAACAAGATCACAAGAATAATTTATATAAGAAATTAACCAAGTGGCCCTGGTACCATGTTTATAAGTATTTACAATGCAAAACCAAAAATGGTTGGCATACAATCCAATTGTGTGTTTCCCAGGAACACAGACCTGTACAAAAATACTTAGGGATTCTCTTTCTTAAAAAGAAATCAGATCTGTGTGGCTGAGCTGCCAGTGCTCATAGATGAAGAAAATAAGAAAGATTTGTCTAAAACAGAAAGACTTTCTGTGTCCAGTTTTTGAACATGACCATAAGAAACACCAGCACCATGTGCCTATTTCTTCAGCACGGCACATCTCACTGCAGTTTTTAGAATACACAGTGAGTGAGAAGGTGCTCAGATGCACAGTCAGTAAAGAACTCTCCATTCCTGACTGCCTGTCTGCATGTGCTTTTACACATCCTTCAGCTAAATCAGAGATCCAAATGGAAAATTAATTACTTATGGCCATCAAGTGAATTTGTGACACTCCCTGGAGACTTTGTGCCCATAAACATCTAGGTAGTCTTTCTCTTCTGACAGATGTAAGATATAATTTAAATTTAATGTATACTTCAAGTATTATTAAGTAATGATTCAATTCTTAAAGGCAAGTTTATAATATATTGCAATATTTTGTATTTTCTTTTTTCTGTTGTACATCTGTATTTAACAAATATAGAAAATACTGGAAGGAAAAACAACATATAGAGTGTATGCAAATTTGCACACGTCGCCCATACAGTTGTGCCAAGCTGCTTGTTTTAGAAGATGGAAATCTTATAGAAAAAAATGTTTTCTATTTGCTGTTATGAGTCATGGAACCTTCAAAGAGGAATAAACATACAGGTGTAAAGGGAAGCAGAGATGGCAGCATTGAATGGAAGAGACCAAAAAAAATTGTGGTGTCTAAATTAAAACCATAAAATATTTCTACAGTTAGAATGTAAATCTATGTGGATGAATGCCTTCACTCCTGGTCTTTGTTTCTGCTGAATTTCCCTCGTCCTACAGAGATGTGATGGAGGGCAGAGGAGGCTCTGTTCTGGATAGAAAGAATAAGAGGGCAAACATCCTTTCTTTTACTTTGAACATCATTTAGTGAAGGAGAGGAGGTGAGAAAAAAAGAATTATTAGTAAGATGAACTTAAATGCAAAAACTAAAAAGAAATATATCCCCATAAGTGTTACAGGGAAATTATTTTATTTTAAACAACTATTGTCCTAAATTGAAATTTTAAAACTGCCCTTATTTCAATAATAATTTCAATGCATATAAGTCTTTCAATAATTGCATTATTATTAGCAAATTTCTATTTTAATGTCTGGAAAAATATTTTGTATGCAAATTTATTTTAAAATACTATGTGATGTCATGTTGAAGGAAGTTGTCTGCATTTTGTTTTTACCAGTGTATCACATGTAATCTTGGTTGTTGGAAAAGAATGATTTGCATCTCTATTTCCAAATCAGTCTTTTAATTCTTACAATTCCTATTAATTCTTACTAATTGATAAGGTGGTTTTACACAATAGCTGGGAAAAGACTGTTGACTTTTATTTTACATTTTCACCTGAACCAGACTGATTTTTCTTGGACAATTATACCTGAGGCATCAGGCAGCTCCTCATGATTTTTTCTTAAGTGATGGAAAAGAAAATATAAAATACTTATAATTATTTTCAAATATTACTCAAATAAACAGTTTTATAGATAATTCCTTTCTGTTCTTTTTTAACAGAATGCCAGCGCTGCCCATTTGCAGGATTTAAAGAGGAAATGGATGGAGAACATCAGGTCCCCAGGCTTTGGCAAATTCTAGCCCAGGATCTTATTCAGTAGATGAACTTACTGTGTGCTGCACCAGGTAAAACAATCCCTGCTACCATGAAAGGGACCATAATTTTATTGTTCACACCTTCCACTTAAGGTTTTACTTTGTGCATCATTGTTATTACAGCAGTTATGAGAAAAAACTTTGTTGTACTAGTTAAACTACGCAAATAAGTTTTTGTGAGTGTGAAATAGTTAAGTCCAAGCAATCCTAAATTTTGAGACCTGACTTCAAATTCAACTCTGAAGTTATTTATTTGTTCAAGTATAAAATAATAAAGGTTCCTGTCCAAGGCACTTAAATCATAACTTTTTAAATTATATGGTCAATTAAATTAGATTTAACCTTAACAGAACTGAACTCGGTTCCAAAGGAACTTTCCATTGCTTTTCATCCCTTCACATCTCAGAGTCCCTCATCAAACAGATGAGGCCCTAAGTGTGGGATATTTTGTATTATAAAGGGGAAGTTCTAGAGTCTAATAGGCTTCAAAGAGAAAGCCTAGACTGTCTTGTTCCATGTAATGAGGAAATTAGTTTAATTGTTTCTGCTAATTGCAGCTGTTGCTGGGTGGCAGAGAGAAAGAAACGATGGCTGGTCTCAGCCTTCTTGGATATTTTCTTGGTTATGCATCATACCTCACCCCAGGTTTCCTGTGCTCATCCCTGTGTTCCCTGTACTCTCTCCTCTCCAGAGCAGTGGCATTTCTCTGAAGAGTCAAAGGCTTTATGCTCTATCTGCTGATCTAATTAGCTTGCCTGAGAAGGAAAACAGATTAGCTGTCTTGAGCCAGAGGCACATGCTAATGGATCTAGGAGATGGCTTTATACCACACAGCTGTATCCTCAGAGCTAATCCAAAGGTCTTGAACACCCACAGAATGATTCCCATTTACTTCAGCAGAAGAGGGCTAAGGCCCTGAGCTTTGAAACTGTTTGTCTCAGAATGTAATGTACATTGGTGTCAAGCATGGCTGTGCCCCAAGAGCAAAATATTAACCTATAGTAACAGTACTTTGCACTTACCTAGAAGCTCTCAAATAATAATTTCTGTGCACTTTAATTAATTAACCTTTACAACAACATGTCTTTGAGGGTTAGCTAAGGATCAGAACTGAGTGACAAGTTTAAAAAGTCTCCAGTTATTCATTTATGCTGAAACTATTTTTGATTGGAGTGTATTTTTGTCTTTTTTTCAGATTTTCATTCTCATAACAGTGTTTTTAAAAGCATGTTTTAATCATAAGCACTTAAATATTTGTCAAGTAAAAATGAGTGTTCGTACTTCTACCGGCATCTATTGGGTAACAGTTCACTGCTTCTGCCTTTTACTGCTTCTCCTTTCACTGCACCTGCTGCCTCTCTCCCCATATCCCTTAATCATTTTCTGGTGTGTCCTCACCAGTCCCTATTAAAGCAATGCTGATTCTTAAACCTCTTTGTTCCAGTGTGAAATCCAAAATATTAAGACAGGCTGAATCAGTTATGTGTTGTACTGAGCTGGTGGGCTAAGATAGACAATTAGAGAAAGCACAGCAGAACTCCCAGCTCACTCTATTGACTAAGGCTCGGAGTTTCATTAGCAGCTCTTTAGGAAGTTAGTCTTAAAGAGATGACAACACAAAGCCATCAGTGAATATTTTTGAATAATCAATATATTTCATTTTCCTGTGAGTTTTAAATTCCCTGGATGTTATATGAATGGTAGATATGTACAGGGTGAAGAAGTCCTGATAGTTGTTTTCTAGTCTTTAAATGGGACTGTCTCTCCTACCCATGGGCTAAAACAATGCAACATGTAGACTTTTCTGGAAGAAAATTCCTTACTCATGGTTGTTAAAAGTTAGGTAATGTCTAAATATTGTGCTGGAGACTAAAATTTGGAGTGAAAAAAGTACAGAAATACTAGACTAAATGGGCTCTGTTGGATCTAAACCAGTAACTAGTTAAAAAATTGGAAAAGGATCTTGATTCTCCATCTCACTTTTCTGTGAGCTAGAATGAGGGAGTTCCTTTCCCTCATGAGTATATTGTTATTAAGTTTGTCAAAAAATTTAAAAATTCTTTGGGTTTCCTTCATTTGCAATGTTTACTTCCTGGGAATCATTAGTTAATGCATCTTGAACTACATTAGCTCATTCAGGTTTGTGGCTGGTCTGATAGCTATGTTCCATGAATCCCATGTGCCATCTGGCTGCAGTTCCATTTGGATCATGTTTAGTCATTAGCTGCTAAAAAAATCTCTGGTCATTTATCTTAGTGAATCAGAACTGGAGTTTAGCATTATTTCCGTGTTACACAAAAAGTCTTTATTTTAGATATATATTTTTTGAGTTTGCTTATTGTATTTTTTAATTTACTTTTAGGCTAATATTTTTAATTGCTATGTTACAGAGATTCCGCGTTGTTTGTTTGTTTATACTGAGTCATTATATAATGACCCTCTGCTAGGATTTCTCTTGAAGTCTAAATGTTCCTTATTGTTCTATTGTTTCATTTAAAAGAACAATCATTGGTGACACGTAAATGAGTAAAGTTTTATAAAAATAACTTGGAATAAATTTTTAATAAGACGTATTATTATCCTTTGACTCATAGCAAGTCATTCATAAACACCATTAAATCCTGATAATTATAGCTGTAGCTGCAGGGTTACTACCTTTACAGTCCTTATGCAGACTTCATTTAGAGGTCCAGTGGGGACATGCACACAACTGCTACAAAATGTTGCTATTAATGGTTTCCTTTGGAACAGTATTGTGCTAGATTAAACATTCACTCATGAAACAAAAATGTTTATAGGTCATCTAATAGCTAAGCATTCTGTAGCTTAAAGTAAATCCTTTAGCATTGGATTTCAGATTTTAGGACTTGCACAATTTTTTTTTTTTTCTGTATAAAACAAGAAATATAGAGATTTTTGTAGTGGAGCAAAAAGCTCAGTAATTTTCTCTGAATAATGCAGCAATCACCATTTTCCCCAAAGTAAACTGGACTACTTTGGTCTATAAAGCTGCTTAATAACTTTTGCAGTACCTCTTTTTCTTTTTTGCCCCCTTGCTGCTCAGTTTCATAGTTACCTTCTGGGATAGAAGGGATGCAGGTACTTACTTGAGATTGCTTTCAGCTTCCTGTCTTATGAAATACATGCTAATATATTTCCAGGAAATTTTGGATCTAGATTTCAACATCGCAGCTCTCATTCTTCTAGAAAACAATCTAGATGTCAGTTTTGGAGCTGCATAGGATCTTTTAAAGATCTAGTAATGTAAATCCCTTCTAGGAACGTTCAACAGAAAGGATTTTTAGGAATGCTAGTAGTGTCATATCTCCAAATTCCGCTCTGTCCTAAAACAAAAATCTCCCAAGATACTGTTAAACCCCAATGTGCAGTGGAATTTGCACCACCTCTTTTTGCTAGTTGCCATTTTCCTTTTCCCAGCACAGTTTACTCTTAATTCTGCCCAGTGAGAGAAGCAGTTCTCAGGACCTGCTCAGCTCTGATGGCCTTTGCCCAGCTGCCCCTGCCAGCAGTCCCTGCCAGGGATATCAGACATCCAGGAGGTCCTGGGCTGATGTCAGCAAAGCTGCTGTTGTGGTACCACACCCCTGGAAACTGCTTCCACCTTGCACTGACTTCACTTGAACACAACCTTTTTGCAGTCTTCTCACCTCTGTTTGGTTTCCTTCCATGGGCTTTGCTCACTGAAGGCCTCAGAGCTGAGATTTTGCATTATGTCTTAAAAATCCTGTGAAAGAGAGATAAAGAAAGAGAGAAAGAGAAAAAAGGAAATAAATAAATAAATAAACAAATAAATAAATAAAGATTCATCATTGCTTTAATTGAAGGCTGAGCCAGCCTTTTGCATTCTGATAGGTGTTAATGCTGTTCTACAATTTTGCAAATACTCTTCCATAGCTGGGGGAACCAGATGGACAATATGACTTTTACAAATTATATGGTGTTGTAATTAAAGATATTCCAGTATATCATAAGATATGTTTGTTAAACAGAAAAGGTGTTTTGAAATGCTGTGATGATCTGATATACAAAACAGCTTCTAATTTGTTCTCCTGGTACTAATTGCCAGTAGTCACTAGATAAGATTAGACTGATGGTAATTCACTGTACTAGGCAGCAGAGAGATATCTTTGCAGGTGTATTTCTCATGGCCATCAAAGTACTTTAATAAAAAAGGTGAATGTTGTTAAAGAGTGATATCAAACAAAGGGCTAAATCCTTTTTATTTTTCCCCTCCTTTACTGCTGACCCTCACTTTTTCCAGAAGGGTGAAGAAACACTGCTGGAGATTTTAGGCATTAGCACAGCAAGTCTTGATATAAACCCTGTTTTTCATACTGGAAGACTTTTTCTGTGCAATAAAGATTCTTAAAGTCATACCTCAAATCCTTCCCACTCATCTTTTAAAAAAAATTACCTGAAAAACAGCATTAAAATATAATTTCATAAAACTTATTGAAAATATTTATTGTGGAAGTATTAGAAATGAAGAGTGGGAAAGGAAAAAAAAAAATTGAGGCTAAGGAACATAGAACTAATTACATGTATTCCTTAAGGCTTCTTTAAGACCTCATGCTGGATACCCAGGGAGCTAGAATATAAGTTTCTCTGTCTTAGTAAATCAGCATAATTACTCTTTTTAGTGTTTTGGTGTGTCTCTCAGAATTTTTGGGTATTAATAGAAAATAATTCCTGTCTATTCCCTTACTACATCCCCTAGGGAAGGATTCCTACTTTTAAGCCTTTTCTATTGGCATATTTTGCTAAATTTATTTATATTTTTTTAACTTGTGCAGATTTTCAGAACTTTTGAAGCAATCTCTCACAGGATTCATAACAATGGAAACAGTGGTGACTGGAGACTTCCCAGTAAAATTTCCTATTGTTGTCAATTGCCTTTAAGAATATCTCATCACTTTATTTAAATGTACATGCTGGTTTATTGTGTATTTATAGTTGCTGGCAAATCCACTGTTTTATAATTTGGAGACCACTAATAACAGGCTCCTGAA